GCAGGATCGGGGCGCTCTGTAGGGTTGGGGTTACCCGGGAAAGGGGTGATCCCTAAAAAGGTCCCTAAAAAGGGGGTGATCCTAAAGCGGGATGGGGGTCTGTGGGGCCCGGAAGGGGGTGGTCCCAAGGATGGGGGTCCCAAGGTTTTGGGGGGACCGGGGGGCTCCTCTGAGCTCCCTTCAGACACTTTGGGGTGTCCCGGCAGCCCCAGGGCTCCCCTGTGCTGGGGATCAACCCCTAAAAATCGGTATTTAACATAAAAACCCCATAAATGTCCCAAAAGAACCGCACCGGTGTCGGCGGGTGACATTGGGGACACTCCCCGTGACCCCCACTGGGACTGCGAACGAGTGGGAGGGACGAGCCCGTTCTCCTTCATTAATTTTCATTAATTCACTAATTATCCCCTCGATTTTATCAGCGCTGGGGGCGGATCCCGGGCCGGGAAGGGGCTCCCGGAGCCACCCCAACAATCCCAAATCCCCTCCGTGTCCCCGCTGCCGTCCCCGACCTTTCCAGGCTGCGATTTCCCCGCTTGGGTTTGATCTCTTTGGGGCCGGAGCGTTTTCTGGGGAAGGGGCTCGGTGGGGACACGAGGTGGCCACGGGGCCAGGGCCACCTGCCAGCCCTAAAAATAACCCGAGAGGGGCAGCCCGGCTCGGATTGCGGGCTGGAATCAYGGGAGCGCTGGGGAGGGGTTTGGGGGGCTGCCAGACACCCCCATTTCCTTGTGGGGTGCGCGGGGGGATGGGGAAATGGAGCCAGGAAAAAAACCCTGAAGGGATTCGGCCCTGCTGGGAACCCTCGGGGAGGGGGAAACACCCCCAAATCTCTGACTTAGGGTGGGCATTATCCCCAAAATCCAACCCAGGGGGGTTTAGGGTGGGAAACACCCCCAAATCTCTGCCCCAGGGGTGTTCAGGGTGGACATCAGCCCTAAATCTTTGACCCTGAGGGGTTTGGAGTGGGCAACACCCCCAAATCTCTGACCCAGTGGGGCTTAGGGTGGGCAACGCTCCCAAATCTCTGACCTAGAGGGGTTTAGGGTGGCCATCACCCCCAAATCTCTGCCCCAGGGGGGTTTAGGGTGGGCATTGACCCCAAATCCAACCCAGTGGGGTTTAGGGTGGGAAACACCCCCAAATCTCTGACCCAGGGGTGTTCAGGGTGGCCATCACCCCCAAATCTCTGACCCAGAGGCGTTTAGGGTGGCCATCACCCCCAAATCTCTGCCCCAGGCGTGTTCAGGATGGCCATCACCCCCAAATCTCTGACCCTGAGGGGTTTAGGGTGGGAAACACCCCCAAATCTCTGACCCAGGGTTGTTCAGGATGGCCATCACCCCCAAATCTCTGCCCCAGGGGTGTTCAGGATGACCATCACCCCCACATCCCCCTTTCCCGGTGCCGTGGGGCCGGGGAACAGCTCAGATTTCGGGGTTCCTCTCAGCGGGGCGGTTCCCCCGCAGTCCCGGCTGCGCTGGGCACTCCCCTGGGTGTTCCTCGGGCTCTTTGCCAGGACGAGATTAGGGACAGGCAGCAACTGGGGCACGGCAAACCCCAAAATCTGTGGGATCGGGGCGTTTGCAGCCTCCCAAACTCCTTTCCCCCATCCCTGGATTCAAATCTGGGTTCATCCCTGCATTTCTGGGGCTTTTTGGGTTTTGGGGAGCACCTGGAAAACCCTGGAAAAGCAGCACAACACCCCCAGCCTGGCAAACCTCACCCTGCCGGGTTTTTTTTCCATGTTTTTGTTTTTGTTTTGGGATGAACCATCGTCTGTTTGTCCCGGCAGTTTTGTGGGGACAAGGGCAGGGATCCCACACGGATCGATGTGGGATGGGGTGAACGACCTGTCCTGAGCGCTCTGAACCCTGCCCCGGGTTTGGTTAAATAGGTTATGGGGTTTTGTGGG